GAGGCACTGATGTTAAGTGCCGCATTCTTCGATTAAAAACACACGAGCGTGTGTGTATATATATGTATATACATATGGCTATATTTATTGGGAGTGGACAGACACTAAGCAGCTCATGGACAAGAGGAGAGTGGAGTAAAAGTCATCCTGTACAACATCACAGAAAGGGTATCCATTAACCTCGCCGGTTCAGGAGCAGATAGCAGAGTATAACCAAACTGTGGTAAGATCTTGGGCTCGGACAGGGAAAGCCTCGGCAAGACTGTCTTTGCAGAATAAAAACCAAGACACCTCAACAGCCGGTCAGCAAAGGTGTTCAGATCAACTCCAAACATGCGACTGTGGGTATTCCAGCAACGCAGATGGCCAATATAGGGCTCAAAGCATGAGTTTTGTTTTGCCTTTAAAACAGTAGCTGTCCCATTTATAGAAAGCAATTTCTGTTAAAATAAATAAAAAGAAAGGGTGGGAGAAGAGGAGAGGCTGCATTTGTGGAACTGAGACTTTGCACTTCACCCATCTAAAACACATCTCTGCTACTCCTCCTCCTCTTGGAATACAGGACTACCTACTTTTTACTAACTTGACTAAAAAGGGATTAAACAAGAAGAAAGTAGTGACATTTACTAAAACTAAGAAGGCATAAAAATTAAGTGATAAGTTCCTGAAATGACATGCATCTTCCCATTCACACGGATGTTCCCACGCAGGTCTCTATGTTATCTGTTTCCACGTGGTTTAGAAAAACCACCACAAACACCACATTCTATGCATCTCCACAGCATTTAGTACCTGACAAAACGCAGCCCAAGTGATGCCTTGCCCCCAGAAGAAAATTGCTTTTAGTTTAGCCCTTGTTGCTCTTGAGTCCCTGTGAACAAGCTCAGTGCTCTGGCAAGAACAGAAATTTGAGAAATCAGGCCCTTCAGCAATGAGGTTTATTTATTAAAACATGTACTAAAACCAGCTGCCAGTTTCTGCAAGGGCACAAAACCACAGCACCAGTAAAAGTGGAAGCTGGTAGAAGCTGGTGCAGATGAGTATATAAATTTGGTAGTCTTTAAAAACCACTGCTTTGAAAGCAGTGGACCATGTGAAACGCAAGCTGTTTGTGGCAGCAAACAACAGACGTGCTTTACAGACGAGAGGTGTTATTCTCCTCTAATAGCAAGGCAGCAGATCTACTGAGCTCTGGAAAGTATGCTGATGCAAAACTGCTGTTTAAATCTACTTCGGAACAATGGTACCTTTGGATGCCTTTTTACAGACAACTGTATTTTACAAGGCTATTCTGCACATACATGGACATTCCTTTAATATTGGGTTTGTCAACTTCTCTGATTTATCAGGAAGGGAAACATACTTCAGTCCATGAACGTGAGAAATGTAAAAATCGCAGACCTTAATTCAAAGCCTAATGAAAATAACGCAAGTATGCCCAGAAACGTTTGGCACGGCCTTTATCTGCCCTTTGTACGTCAGTAGGGAATGCTGCAAGGTTGAAACAGGTCAATCAGCTTGACTTACAGCACATATCATCAGGAAGACCTGAAATCCTTCTCTGGGCCTCTGAAGGATCACAAGTGGGAACCCAACAGTAAACGTATCAACAGCGCCTGGCAGGGAAAGTCAGTGCTCATTTTGCCTTCTGTTTCTGAATACTGCTTGTGTCTGTGACTATTAGCTGCAATTAGACATTAAATGTCAAATCAAAGCATTGTTAGATGAAGAGCACATGCAAAGGAAACTTCTCCACAAGCAGAAAGAAGCTACAGCTTGGAACACATTAGCTCTGTTTAGTTCTCTACCCAGAAAGGCTTCCACTGTCTACATGCACTCCTGCTCCTCCAAACTCAGGACAGTCCTTGCAACACAACACGCAAATGTTGGCCAAGGAACACCCAGAAGAAGCCACAAACCATAGCCTTTGAAGGATTTTTTTTTCCTTTGTCCTTCATATTTCAACATCTTATTTTGCAATCAGATTTAAGGCATTTTTTCCAACCGTGTCAAAAGCAATTTGAACTTCAGATTTAACATCTAGAAGCAATTACAAAAATTAGAGTCCAACTAGCTTACACCTTCACTGCTACAAGCTGCTGCAGGCATAACTTGGTTAATGTTTTGAGTCGCGTTCCTCAGGCCAGCAAAACACATTCCTCCAAACTCCAAAGGGCTTCAACATGAATGAAGATCCGAAGAGGTTGTATCCTGGTCGGTGCTGTTTCTTAACAGCTTTCGGCCACCACAGCACAGCTGATTGACGCATGTGCTGCAGTACTGTCTTTATTTGGGTTAGGAAGAAGGGGGAAAGAGGGGAGAGGAATGAAGGGAGAGAAGACCCACATGCAGGGACGCATATTTCTTAAAAAATTTTTTTCTCTGCCTCCTGCTCACAGACCAAAGCAAAAGAAAACTGAAAGAAAAAACACATCATGCCAGCAAAACATAACAAAACAAACAGGCTCATAATTTCTTGGAACAGAACAAACTATTAGGAACTGTGAGATGGAAGAAAAATTGCATTTTCAATTTAAATCTTCAATTTCACATTCTTCTTTCCCTGTTAGGTTATAAGAAGATGAATATTTTTCTAAACAAAACCTCAAGAAAGAAAAAATGAAGTGAAAGCATAAGCACTCCTGGTCCCACTACACTAGCAGGCAAAACTATTTACCATGCTTGAGAGGCATGTTTCTTAATGGTTTAAAAATAAACTTGCAGCAGCCAAGTGCAACATTTGCTTCCTCACAAGACAGGTGACCGAGCTGCTCTTGGCATAACAAAAGCAACAAAACCTAACCTAGGGCTCCCAGTTTTGTGTTTGATAGCAAGATGATGAGTGCACGGTTACTCCTTTCCTTGCAACTGAGCAGAGAAGAAAGAAAGGAGTTGTCAGCTGCCCGCTGCCCTGCAGCTCATACGCTTAGCTCTGAAAGAGGGGGGTAAGAAAGGAGGGTTCACAGTATGGGACAACACAGTGCACAATCTCTCCAGCAGCAGAACTGAAGGAAGAAGTTCATGCTCTTGCCTGCAATGCAGTTTCCCCTCTTCCCCACTGCTGATACAGCTGTTAGTTATTTTATATCAGATTGCTTCAACATATCACAGCTTAGCCCCACGTACATTAGTACAACTGGGGAGGGGCAGGAGGGAAGAAGAGAAGCTACCAATAAAAGAGACCTAGGACTGCAAAGGCAGAGTCAATTTTGTATGTTTAACTTAACTGCTAGAAAAGCTGATGTGGAACAATGTTCCCAGAGCGGATACAAACCTAAGCCTGTTCAAAATGAGTTGGCCCTCCACCAGCAAACACAGCCAACCAGCAACAACTCCAAAGAGGACTCAGTGGAACCACAAAGGCTCCCTGCCTTACACTGGCAGGAGAACAGGAAAGGTCAACATGGTCCCATCCGAGCCTGCCTGAGGGACATAAGAGGATACTGGGTACTGTTGGCAACCTGCCTTAATTTTGTTGTGGCTAATCACAGAAGAAGAGGTAATGATTTTCAAGGCAACAAACATCAGAGTGAGTTATTTCAACTAGACAGCTGAAGCTGCTTAGGGAAGCATCAGACCTACATGGAAAGGGTTCCCTTCTGTCCTGCTCTGTCGTACGTCCGAGTCTGAGTTATGAATTTGGATATCCTAGAAACACAAAGGATCCTTCAGTCTAGAAGTGCCACTGATGCTTTACGGGGCAAACACCAACATCCCCCCCTCCTCTGCTGGCCTTGCAATTCACTTTCTAATGCTGGGAAGCAGCCTCCATGACAGTGTCTCTTTACAAACCAAAAATGACATCCGATGTCACATCAACCATTGATCAGGAAACTGTGGTCAGATTTTACTTTCCCGATACTGCATCTTGCAGTAGAACACAAAATAGTTTTTGTGTAGAAGGGAAATCAATTTATGCAATTGTATGATTACATGTAAAACCTCAATTATGAGCAGAAGACAGTTGTGAGTTAATATTATTATGGGGAATGCAATACATTTTTTGTGACTTCCTACATTTAAATACTCCAAAGTATGCAGCCTAGTATGAAATTAAAGGCAAAATATCTTGAAAAGTTTTAGTCTATGGTAAATTTGTGACCACTACAGTATTTTTCTTTAACAAGTATGATCATCTGACAGTTGCAGAAAAAGTTAGCAGTTACGGTAGCTCTCACATGCCTTATTCCTCACTGATGAAGAGCACGCTAAACTGAGTTCTTAGTTGTAAATACACAAATTAGACATCCACCTTGAGGATGGCTGTGTTAGTTAACTTTTATCCCACTGTATTATCTACTGTAACACCAACTGATCAACAGCTCAATGTCTAGAGAAGACATTGGAAAAACAGGGCACTCTGCACAGCCCAGTGTACGCACAGGATATGCCTGCACGACTTCTGGTGCCAGTTTCCAGAGCTGAAAAGAAAGCCTAAATAAAGGAGTAGTTTTTCATACAGCCTTCCAGATTTAGAGGTAAGTGACAGTAGATAAACATGAAAAGAGAATAAAAAGCAGCCTAGAGCATTCAAGCCACCAGGCTGTGAAGTCAGCATTAATTCATTCCACAGCTTGACAAGGCTGTATATGTTTTTAATTAATGAAAGCAAACTTGCTTAGGACTTGCTGTCCTGCTCAATTGCAGTCAGTGCTCTAAAACCCCTGCAAAGCTAGTCACTTCTGGGGAAAACAAAACAGAACACCATGCAAAGAAAAAAAGCCAACTAACTGTCAAGTTTTTATGACAGGTGTTTTCCAGAGAGTCCAAGATCTTTACAGTATCCTGCCACCTTCCATCATCATTTTCAAAATCCTGAGAAAAAGTAAAAAGGAGACGCTTAGGGGATGTTGGGGAGAGAAAAATGGAAACCCCACCTACTTCTACCAAAGAGTCAGTTCTGCTCCAACAGCGGACATGCAGCTTTCCCTCTGGGCCAAACAGTCAATCCCATACACAGTATAGTTGGGGTTTTTTTTTTTGGTTGGTTGTTTTTTTTACTGTGTCCACTGGCAGCATTTAAAGCAGGAGGAAAACATGCATGCAATCTAGAAGCCTTTAAATTAGATGGAGGCAAAGTATCTCACCACAGCTCAACCCAACTCCTTCCCAAAACCCAAGTTTTCACAGAGCACTAGACAAGTGAACCCTTAAGAAGGCTGTAAGGTTAATGGAGACCTTTTGTGTAGAGAATCAAAACAAAGGAAAGACTGTACTGAAGATTACACTCTCTCCTTACAGAGAGATGACTCAGTGCCTTATCACACACTATTTTCAAAAATAAATTAAACAAAACAGATTTAAGAATAGCAGCGAGAAGGGTATGTGTATTATGGCCACTCCAAGCCCCAGCATACTGGATACACAGATCACCATTTTACTTTATTCCATGAAAACAAAGGAAAGATGTTCTTCCCAATGCTCTCCGCAGGGCCCAGGCTGAGGAACGAAATAAAACTCTGAACACTCTCATTTGGTCACTAGAGCAGGAGAAGGGAAGAAGAGAGAGAAGGGCCAGCCAGCTGCCTGCCTGATTTCAGCACTGCAATCCTATGACCCTCAACTGCATATTTAATGAGTTGGTGTCCCAGGCAAAGAAGAGAAGGGAGGAAGGCTGGGAGAACTCAGGCCACGGTGCTAATTCCTTTCCTGCACAAAGACAGTCTCTTGAGGACACAGGCCTGCCTCCTGTAACGTGATTTCATAGTCCAGGTGGGAAAGTTTCCTTCGAGGGAAGTTGGTGAGAAGTTCAAAGCGTTCATTGGGGTATCCTTTTGACTGGACATGTTTCACAAGAGCCTGGAGAGAAAGAAAGGCAAAGAAGTGTCATATAATTCAAAACAATACAAAAGAATGTAAAAAAAACCCCCATTTTCCTTTAAAAAAAGAAGTTTGTAATCACAGACAAAGGAAATTTTGAAAATTTGCATATAGTATAGACCCTCTTTTACTATCTAATTTGACCCACAAATGGTAAGAATCATAAAAACTAAATACCAAGTGATCCCTTACCTAACTGATTCTTTAAACAGAAGACACACATAATAGTACATTAATTCAAGCAAGCTGAATTCCACATCACACATTCAAATCACAGTAAAAGAAGATTTGCAAAATAATCCTTAAGTGCCCCAAAACAGAAGCACCCTCACTTGTTTATCAGATATTACCCTTACATTAAACCTAAAAGCCACCAAAGAAGCATTTTTGTCAGGTAACTTTGACAAAAATAAATGCAGTATTTTTACTAAAAAATTAATTTTTTTACTGCCTTCAAGAAGCATGAGGATTTGTTTGGTTTTTTTTTTTCTTTTTTTTTTAAAGCTCTCTTCAATTCATTGACTTCGCTGCTTACAATAGCAATTGGGGCAGGATACAGAGGGCATTGGGATGAAGGGGTATCAGCCTCACAACCCAACAAGCAGATATATGCAGAAGAGTTAATGTCCATGCTACAATGAGAGAGATTTCCCAAGTTCATCAGGAAACAGAGCAGATGAGAGCATAAAGTGCAAATAGACAGGGATAGAGAAATGGAGATTGGCAGAACAGTAGGGGATATAGCAACAGAGCAAGACTCAGGAAGAATGAAAAGCTGTAGTTTTTTAAAGAGGGGGAAAAAAGACAATTAATATGTAATAAAACAGAAAGTATGAAGTAATAAGGGGGTCCCAATGATACTGTTCACATAGTTTTGGTGGGCAACTTATGCCAGTACATTAAGTGCAAGGAGGTAAGCTAGCAGTATTAAGCTTCTACTAGTGCTAATTATTCCACTAGCTTCCCCTTGCTATTTAGCTGCCACTTCAGGACCACAGCGACTCAGCACAGAAAAAAGCAGTCGCAAACAAGTACTTGGCAGTTACTGCTGCAGCTCACAGGCAAGGGGCTCAGAAGATCACTTGGGTGGCTGTTCATTTTAGTGTTTGTGTTCCAGTAGGAAAGCTATCAGTCATATGGTGCTGACATGACCCAGGACGTGGTCTCCCACAACAGCCCGCAGCACTCTTCCTAATATTTCAGAGGCATCAATGCAGATGGAACACAAGGTCAAGGAGCTGCGCAAAGAGGTCAGGATGTCCTGCTGCATCAGGGAAGATGAGCAAGAAAGCAGTAGGATGCTGACAGCAACACTGCAAGGGCAAGAACTGAGGCCTTGTGGTGCAGACAGAACAGGATGACCAGAAGCAAGACTCAAACACAGGGAGGACAGCAACTTGCAGGACAAGGCACCCTGGAGACTCATGACCTGTGGCAGCAAAACAGCAGCTCTTCCCTCACTTGGAATAACTATTTAAAAAAAAAAAAACTGTTGAAAAAACAATATGAAGTCTTGGCAATAAATAGGGAGGACAAACAAGTTCCACTGGAAGATACAGCTGGACAAACTGGTCCTACTCAACACGTCAAAACCAGCAGGGAGAAGAAGCAGTGCACACTGGTGGAGAGGATTCCTTCTGCGGGGGACTGAGGCACCCAGCTGCCAACCTAACTCTGAGTCTTTGAAGCCTGCTGCTTGCCTAGAGCCAAGATCCAGGATGTCATGGAGAGACTGGCAAAACTCATCAAGAAAGCTCAACATGTGTCTGCAGTGAGTCCTTGCAGCAGCGACAGCAAACCTGGGTTGCATCAACAAGAGTATTGCCAGCAGATCAAGGGATGCAATTATGCCACTCTGCTGGGCCACGCATGGAATCCTGTGTTCAGTTTTGGTCTCTCCACATTCAAGAAGGTCAAGGAAAAACTGGAGAGGATCCAGTAGAGGGCCATCAAGATGACTAGAGTACAGGTCACACCTTGGTACATGAAGAAAGGTTGAAGGATTTGGATTTGTTCAGCCTAGAAAGGAAAAAGCTTGGTGCGAATATCATCACAGTCTTCCAATATAGAGAATGTGAAGGCATTTCTTTTACAAAGATGCGTGGTGACAAGAGACAACACACACAAGTTGCTCCAGGGGAAATTTCATCTGGATATAAGGAAGGAATTCTTCACTGTGAGAGAAATTAAACTTCGGAGTAAGTTGCCCAGAGAAGTGGTGGAATGTCCCTTGCTGGAAGTATTCTGGACTCAGCTTGAGAGGGCCCTGGATAACCTCATCTACAGCCCTGCTTTCAACAGAGGGTTAGACCACATGACCTCCAGGGATCCTTTGCAACCAGGACTCTTCCAAGATCTGATGACTCCAGAACAGCCAGGGAAGCACCTGCATGGAGATTTCTTTCAAATTCATCAAAATCCACACACAAACCTTTGGTACGAGCAGACTGTGACCCCAACCTCCTCTTTTACCTGGACTGTTCTCCAACAAGCTTTGCAGATTACAATGCCTGTGTTTGATGAGGAATGCAAGTAAGTGGGTTTGACTTCTTTTTCAGGCAACAAGGATGATCAGAATTCCTTTACAAACCACTGTATTTAAAAATTCAGTTAAGTTCACTGCCCACATCTCCCCCCTGCCCCATTTAAAGGCCAACCTTTCCTGCACACCTTACAACACTTGGTAGGCAACCGGTCAGTGATGCAAAGAGCTGAGCTACTGAACACAGTGAAGTCAGCTACTTAATTGCAAACAATGAGCAACTGCTTCTATAAAAAGACAATGTTGCCTTTTTTTTTTTTCCTCCTTGTCTAGGTGGGGAAAAAAAAGGTTATGGTAATATTGAAAGCATAAGCAGATCCTGGAGATAACAGTGTGTAAAGAAGCCACTCTTGATCGATAACAATGCAATGATTAAAAAAAAAAAAAAAAGTTTCAAAAAACAGCCAGTGTTGGTGGGAGGGCAACATCGTATCATCAGTTAAAACTTCTAAAGTGCAACTGTCTCCTTAAACAATTTCTTTTTATAGTTCTGGACAGCTTTAAAAGGGAAGCAACTAAGGGCTGAAAAAAAATCAGCACTGAAATGACACTCACAAATAAAAATCTGAGACTCGATCTGACTGAAATGGCTTTTAAAGACCACATGACATGAGCACAAAAGCTGCCTGTTCAGCTCTGCAATAAAAAGGTATCTTTACCCACAAACCCTGACTCACCTGAACTCCTCTGCTGACTGTAGAGCAGGGGGCAGGAGAGGAAATCACCTGCCGAGATTAACTTCCTTTAACTACGGCAGTCCAAAAAAGGAGTAAAACCAGAAGTCAGGATTATCACGAATGTATCAATATTACACCTACCTATCACCTAAATAAAGTATTCAGAAGTGCTACATGTTTAATAATACATGCAACTTTGTTTAACAGACTGCTTTCAAAAAGCAGTTAAGACATAAAGGAGTACTTGGAAAAAGATTATACACCGATGAATGCTACAACAAAGCAAGAATGAAGGTCTGAAAGTAAAGCAGGTTCCTACAGTAAGACCGATGCTCTGCCAGTGTTCCTCAGTCTTTATATTTCAGCCCCAGGACTCCACGTGAAGCACTGCAGGCAGTCTACAACCTTACACTTACGCTTGGTTTTGAGAGATGACGGTATAACAAAGGCAACTTTTTTTTCCCTTTTATTTTCAAGCAAAAGCATTAAGGATGAGAATATGAGCTTGAGACACTGTACATTTCCAGAGTGCTGCAGACTTGGTTATAGCCTCATTTTCTGTAAGAGATGTGACACTCTTCTAAATCCGCATGAGATCCTTCTAAAGAAGTGTGCTTCTGCCTTCCCTAAGACTTCAACACAGAGCTTTTAGGTTGATTACATTAAAATGAGCTTAACTGGCTACTGTGTCATGAAAACTCATGGCTAACAGGAATATAGTGACCTCTTTACATATTGCTTCCAGATAAGCACCTGTAAAATTTTGATGGAAACACCATCCACATGGACTTCTCCAAGGTAAACAAGCCCAAAGCACAGTTGGAGACACACACCTGAAGCACAGTAATTAAATAATATTGTAACAAATTTGTTTTGGGAGAACTTCCTCCAAAGTCTGCTCTGTCATCCACATCCAGAAGGGAGTGTGAAAGTATGGTGAAAGAGATGGAGAAAAAGAATGAAGGGTTTTGCCCTTGATTTTACCATTGTCTGACCATGGGCAACAACTGAGCTTTTCCATTTAGAAAAAAAAAAACCAGAACTGAGTGAGCTGAGAGTATTTTACGGTAATTTAGTGATTAATGCAAAAGCCATATAGGTCATTTTAGAAAGGAAACTACCAGTTTTGGGACTAAGGAAGACACTGGAGCGTATACGCAACCCAAGCAGCAATGGAAAAATACAGAGCCAGCAGAGTCTGTTGATTGGAAGAGAGGAAAGACACGTAAGAAACACAACAGAACGACAGTGCAAGCACTCCCTGGATATACCACTTTCACTAGACCCAATTTCAATAGTGCCACCACAGGAAAAGAAATTCTCCAGTTTCAGCTCTCCTGTACTCAAACAAGGATTCCGATTAACTCCACTCACCAGAAGTTTAGCTTGCTCGGGCAGTGAAATTTGTTCCCTCTTTCCATCTGGATACCTTAGCATCAGCTGTGCCTTTGGTCCTAGCATAAAGGAAGTTACTACAAGTTAACAAACAACAAGGCAGCTGAATTGAGCTCTTCTGTAGATTTTACGTGGCATGCTTTACTGCACAGCATAGCAGGGTTAAGGACTGGAGACAAATACAAGATTCCAGTCTATGAAGATACATACTTCTACCACATGTATTTAAAATACACACATCAAACTCAGGACTCTGTCAAGATTTAATAGTAGCGAGACTGAAAACGGTCAGCATTCCCAGAGAAAAGCACACTGTGCTACCTCTGCCTCTGAGACCACCTCACTCTGCTGCATCCCAGCTCAGGCACCGTAGGTAGAAACAGAGACTCATTTGTACTAGCCAAAGTTGCATTACTAATACTCAGTCCAGACCGTCAAAGCAGCCAGGCTAACTGAGCATGAGGTGGGGCTGATGTTATTCTGCTTCTCTCTACCATACTGGTAGAAGCCCTGTCATATGCATCTACATTACACCAATGCATACTTTATTCGTGGACAAGGTCTCAAACTAAGAAACAAGCTCAGTGACTAACACAACTCTGCAGTTTGTGGCATCGCTATGCCAAAGTGGTGCTGCTGGCAAGGTGAATCGCTCAACTGTCTGGTGTCAAGGAGGGAGCAAGCCAGTAGAAAAGATTTAGCTTTTCAAAACAAGGGATACAACCATGCTTGTCAGCATATTAAGATTTTCCGGAAAAAAAACCAAACCAAAACACAGGTCAGTATTAAAAAAAAAGTGGCAACTTACCATTCACATCTAGGCCCTGAAACGTACTTTCAGGCTTGTCAGTTGACTCCTCCAGTATCCCTGCATCAATACAGGGCAGTACTCTGTGATTCGATGTTGTCCCAGGCTCAGTCCTTGCAGGGGGCTCAGGCTGAGCCCTCCGACTTTCCTCTTTTTTATATCCCAAGTCCTTGTGCGGAGACTTCCTCAACTTGGCAGGATTCTCCGATTCCTCCTCCTCCTCAGATCCGCAAACCGAAATAAACTCTTCGCTTCCAGAAAAAAGCTCTGACTCGGACTCCTCATCTGACCGACTCTCCTGCTTGGCCTGTGAGGAATCAAAATGCGTCTCCTGTAACGAGGCTCTGATAGCAGCTTCCAACTGGCTGTCCTCACTGGCATCAATGAGACTCTCCTGTTGAATACAGACATAACACAAATACATATAAAAATCACTTTTAAATATGTACTGAAAATCAAGAGGACATCAGTCTTCCGAAGAGAAGTTACTAAAACTGTCAGGAACAAAGAGCATAGAAAGCTAGTCATGCTATGACTATTTAATGACTTCTCCTTGGAGTTTTGCATGGAGTAGTGTATTTTCCTTCCACACATGCACAATTCTGTGACTGCTAAATCCAAAACAAATGACGAAAGCACAAACTGCACAACAAAAGTAGTTATCATGGGAGAAGGCATTCCCTGGAGCACCATATTTTTGCATGCTCTTGCACTAACTCATTAAGTCTGTTTATACTACTGAATGGGAAATCAGTACAGCTGGATAAAGACAGGCTAGCATGTTCTTTCATGTTTTTCCAGTCCTCCTAGAGGGCCTCATACTTACTGAACGAGAGCATTTTTGGGGAGGGCTGGTAGAATGGCCATCCAGCTGTCCATGCTCACTCAAAAACCCCGTCACTTGGTCCAAGAAAGAAGTCACATCTAGCTGGTGCCACTCCACTAGTTTCTGGCCTAGGGAACAAAAGGTGTCATGAAACATAATTTCAGCAAAAGGTTGCAGCTTGGTGGTCAAACACACCAATTCACTGCTGTGCATGCACTCTGCAAGAGTCCATATTTGTGGAACTGCAGCTTCCTACAGGCTACCACCTGATAATTATGAAGCTTCCTCCTTCCACTCCCTTGAAAAGGTTTCAATCATGGACTGACATAAATAGAAACCCTGTTTATTTCTGTTCTTTCCTTTTTATCTATGGGAACGTGTGCACAGAATGGTGAATTAGGCTTCAAAATGAAAAAAAGCCAAACCACTAAGTTTATGAAGAAGCATTTCTATGTTCTTGCCTGTTTTGATTCTATACCTTGGCAAACAGCATTTGTTTCCATAAGTAAAGTGGTAAGACCAGTATGCTAATTTTAGTTTCAACATTTAAAAAAAAAAAAAAATTGTGTGGTTTAGGCCAAATAGCAAGACATCTCAGCTCTGATTACAGACACTATTACTTCAGTCCTGAGAAGCAGGACACCAGACCATTAATATAGTTGCATTATATGATGATAAAGAAGAAATGGTGTTGGGATACAAAAGAAAAAGTAACAATTTCGAAAGAGCTGGAGGGGGAGGTAGAAGTTTCATTATTCAGGTAAAAAAAAAAAAAAAAAAAGAAAACCAAACAACAAACCCAAAGCCAAAATGGTAATTTAGTAAGTCATTGCTGACCCTCACAAAGCTACAGTGCAAGGAGCGGGAAGCAGATTCATGCAATGCTTACAAATATTGTAGTTTATCCATCACATGACTTCAAGGAGCTTTTAAAAGGACACTTAAATAATTTCAGAGTTTTACCACCAGGTGGTACTATTTTCACTTTCTAAGGAAAGTACTCCCAAGTACAATAACCAAATACACAAAATTTCATCAAGCCTCGGGAGTTGTATTCCCTTAGTTCCTCCAAAACATATTGCTGCACATCCTCAGAGACAACAAGGTCTCTCAGAGAGCAAAACAATGTAACTGAGATTCTTCAGCTGAATGTAACACATACTGCAAAAGATGGTATTCTAGCATACAACTGCCAGTCCTTCTCACGGGATATGTAAACTGTAGGTAACCAACTGCCACTTATCTTACCTGTCCTGGGATCCAGGATGGAGACATAAGGGAAGTCTGCTAATTTATAAAACTGTATGTACCTCTGTCCTTCCTCACTGTCATGGTATACCTATAAAATACCACGTTGGAAGCAAATTACTGGGTGGAGAGGGAACACAAACAAACTGTACCTTGAAAATGTACAAAGTTTTTCTCTATATTACAGTATATGCTACAAATGGTATGTACAGTTCTCGGTAACTCTGACAAGCTGAAAATATGCCTCTAATGCTCCAAGTATTAGAAGCTACGTGGTAACATCTTAAATGCACAAGTGAAAGGCAGGTTATGCATTCAAATGTATATCCATGAGCTACAGCTACATCCATAAACTACATCCCCATGAACTACTGCATCTTTTCTGCAAGTTCACCAAGAGAACCGCAACAGTGCCATTTTATTCAAAGTAGTCTGTTTTTTTCACTGCTCCAACTACCAGGACACCATGTTACCCACATGGCCCTGTTAAACTTCTCACCTGCCAAAAAATGAAATGTTCCCGGATTATGTTCTTCACAGCCTCATTGCTCCAGACGTCGCGGTTGAGACACTGACAGGCGAAATCTTGCACATTCTGAATGTTTATCATGAGCCATTTGTTCTGCATCTGACCACACTCCTTGGCCTGTAACCAGAGAGAAAAGCTTTATTAGATAAAACTGAAGAGCCAGGCATAACCAATGCCAGCAATGATCAGTGATGGCTTCTAACACTGTCAGATTTTTCACCAAAACCCCTTCACAGTGAGAAAGATGGACAGTGCTAGTGAAAAGGCATCCACAAAACAGAAGGCAGGGCTGAAAGACCTACTTTAAATGAGACTGGTTGAATTACAGAATCACATCGATGAAGAGAGCTGCTGGATTTCAACAAGCCAAGCACAGAGTAAGAAAAGCAACTTGGGGGGGGGACAAAGGGACGCTGAAAAAAGTATTTGTTC